GCTACCAGGAATTCTTTCTTTTGGTCGATTGGTAGCTAGTGAGTATTTAGAAAGAAGCATACCTGGCAAGTCAACACCCACAAATGAGTGGGATCCATATAAAAATGACAGAAGGGTCCCTGAAAAAGAAGAGAAATAAACACATAATATTACTGAAGTCTCTTTGAAAAACTATTACTTAGAAATTTCATTTTCATTATTTTGTAAAATAGACAACAAACTCCAGACCCAAGAAGACAGGTCTAAAAAAAATAGGAATTTCCTCAAGTGTAAGTATAACTAAAGCCATTCAACACTGAAGAGAAACCCACAGCAAGCACATAAAACCGTTGTTGTAACGTTCTGCTGCCGAGAAAAGTGACTAAGAAGTAATAACGGGGAGCTTTTATATATGGATCTGTGATAAAGGTGCATAGATGTAGGTGGAGAGAATCACAAAATTTAACTGGCTTTGGGCAATATAGTGAGGTATAAAGGTTAAAGCAAGTGAGGTAAAATTCATACTATTGCTTATATGGCCAGAGAAGAGAAACTTTCATTGAGATAAAGCTAAAGTGTGAGAGGAGATAAACGAGTTTCAGAATATTTGTCACTTGACATTTTGAGTTTTGCACCTTCTTGCAGCTCATTAGAACTTACAAAATCAACCAGGTGATCTAAGGATGATAGGATTCCACAAGAAGAAAAAAACACTAGGTGCTGGCATAAACTTGAGTAGTTGACAAATGACTGTATTATTTAAATAGTACGTTAAGCTAATTAAACTAATTAAAAACAGCCTATTCTGTGTCTGGACCAGGTTTATTTTGAACACTGATAAAGTAACAAGGTCTACATATAAGATGAAACTAGCCGACAACATATTAATTTTAAAAAAGGTGATAATTATTATGAAAATTACAAAATGGTCACAGCAACAAAAACAGCAAAAACATTTGATGAACCCTACGCAAAGTATGCAAATTACAATAATCGTATCTAAGACTTAATAGTACAACATAGCAAAAATCATACCAGTAATGCACCATAAGAAACCCAGTGACACAAGGTCTTTCAGAAGGTACATCTTCCTTCTTCCAGTTCACTTCTAACAAACAGAAATCTAACTTCCTAAAAACTCAAGAAGTTGGATTTTTGTTTTATGATTCTATATAATTCTGTTAACATTGTGAGCAGTGATAGCAATGCATTTCTTTAAAAAGTACACAGAACACTACCTGCAATCTCACAAGCTGATAATCTAACCGAGCCTTTACACCCTTGATTGACTTCTTCCTGAGACTTGTAGTAGGCCAAAATGCCATTATCGAGTACAAACCATCGTGGTTGCCAACCTGTAAAAAATTACACTAACATTATATTCCATTCAGCACACCAAACAGGTGGCTAAGTATCAATTTGGAACAATTAACTTTACAATTCTGAAACCATGAAAGTTTTTAGAATATTACACTATACTCATTTAAGTACACATAGCTCTTCCTTAGCATAAATGTTGAAGGACAAGACAATGAAATACTTGTCAAATGAAACATTATAATACAAGTGTTGATCCTATATATATATTTCAGTAAAATAAATGAGGGTTTAAATTTTTACTTTTCTTAAGTGTGGTCCGTTATCTGTATGTAACGTTACTTAAACTTGTCTTTGTTATCTCTTTTTGTGATCACTGACTGTTGCATAGATAAATATCATAGCTGTAAAATGTAGGGTTAAAAGATTTTAAAACTGCTCAGTCATTTCAGTATCTTACTCACACACAAGAAAGGGTTTTTTTGGAATAATGAACAGTTTAATTCAAGAACATATATATATATGGAATGTTAAATTAATAAAATAAATAATTAGTGCTAAAAATCCTTTCCCTCATTCTGAGGTATAACATAAATTTGATGAACAAGCACATTTCACCAACTTAATGGAACAATTGTTGTTGAAACAATTTGATAATATAAACAGTATCTCCAACTACTATTACATCTGTTGTATTCCAGTTGGCTTAAATAGTCCTGGTATTGGCAGAAGGATTTGTCACTATTTAATAAAGTAGATGTAATTCCACTTAGATGTTCTTGTTAATAATCAACACATAGTTTAATCTACTTGCTACTTACCATTCCAGTAGTTGGTCCATTTCCACAAAACTCCTTCCATCTCCTGTGAAAATACTTTTCTGAAAAGGTATAAAAACATTAATCATAAGAAATGAAAATCTCTCTAGGTTTCAAACCCCTGGTCTCCAGCTGGTGTTAGCAGAGGTAATATTAAAGACTATACATATTCCCCTATTATGTACATCAACTATCTAACCATCCCTCACGGTTTCAAACCCTGGTTTTCAGGTGACGTCAGTCCTTCCCATCAGAAATAACATGCGAGTTACATATTCGCATACTGTATGCATCAACTATAATCATAAGAAATGAACATCTCTTTAGGTTTCAAACCCCTGGTCTCCAGCTGGTGTTAGCAGAGGTAATATTAAAGACTATACATATTCCACTATTATGTACATCAACTATCTAACCATCCCTCAAGGTTTCAAACCCTGGTCTCCAGGTGACGTTAGCAGAGGTTGCATTAAAGACTATGCATGTTTCCCTGACACATGTAATTGTTAATCTTGAGCATGATGCAATACACTCAAGAACAGAATACTAAATATAGAATATATCAGGTAGTTCATGAAAAGTCTTGATTCCAAAAATGTTTTTGAGCAAATATTGTTATAAAATCAACAAATATTAAACATACACCATTTAATTTATACATGAACTTTGTACTTAATAGATTATTTCCATCAACAAAATTATCTTTAAACAAACTTATCATACCTTCCACTTTTTCTCATGGTTTAAATTATAAATTTCTTCTAAAACTTGCAGTACCTTCCCATTTCTATAATAACTGGCTTTATAACTATTTTAAAAACACTGAGATATATTACGTAAACGGTCGGTCTTGAATTTTGTAGGAACTTGTTTGTTTAGTGTACTTTAAAGTTGTATCACGGTTTGATGTAGCAAAATAAATCTTTTTAATAGGGTATTAGTAGAAAATAAGATAACTTAGGTAGGCAAAATGGTCCCTCATCCATTTGAAATGAAATGTTCATCATCTAGACATTGATGTTTTATTCAGAGTTTGTGTATCTTGCATTAAAAATCAGTTAATTGTTTTCAGGATGTTAACTGAATGATGGAAAGATTGTGGATTTGGGTGTACTTCAATTTTTAAAATGTTTTTGATAAAGTGCCACATAAAAGATTAGCTATGAAAATTGCATTAGTAGTTAGGATGAGGAAAAGACTAGTTAATTGAATTGTAGCATGGTTGGACAGCAGATTTTGTTTAAGTACAAAGTTACAGAAAGGGCTATCTGTACTATCCTCACAAGTAGTATCATACCCAATTTTTAGGGTATAAGCCATAGGGCGACTAGACAGAAGGCAAAAGATTATTTTTAAGGCAGTCCAGTCATACTCAACCCTTGTAACTGGTCGATTGCCTCAGAACTCAGTGCTTGGACCTCTGTTTTTTATATCAATGATACTTATAGAGGCATAATTAGTAAACCTGTAAAGTTAGTTGATGTCATTAAACCCTTTGGTATTTATAGCTGTGCTGAAGATATTATTAAACAAATGATTTCAACCAATTAGTGAGTTGGGCAAGTATCTAGCAACTGACCTTTAATTATGATTAGTGCAAGATAACGCATTTGGGTTAGCCACACTTTGGATCACACATTTAACAGTAGCATGCGAATAAAAGGATCTCAAATGAATGAGGAAGTGCTCTAATGTTAGTTGCAAAGTTAACAGAATTTTGGGGTGTATATAACATAATACAGACAAAATGATCAGTTGAAAGAAGTAATTATTTCTCTATACAAATCAATAATTAGGCCTCACTGAGAATACAATGTACAAATTCGGTATATAGGGGTAGAAAGATTATCTCATAGGGACAGGTTAAGATTGATTATTTTATCACGAGAAAAGGAAGGTAGGGTGATCATATCGAAGCTTATAAGATTATCGAGAGAAGTGATAGGATCAAGTCCCCTTATTTCTTTGAGCTGTATTCTGAAGACAATAGCATAGAGGATAATTTTTAGAAAAGACAGATTATACTCCAGTTAAAACAGTTATATTTGTCTAATAGTAACAGGGTGATTAACTTACAGAACGAGTTGTCATCAGTATTAGTGGAAACTAGCATTTTACAAGAGTTTATGAAGGGAATCAATGATTTCCTGAAAAATAATGGGCAGGTTTGAATTTTTATTTTCTCAAGATTATATATACAAGGCAGTTTTGAAAGTACAAACTGTTCCTTGTTGTCCATATATTAAATGAAAGGAGGTCATCCTTTCAATGTATTAGGGCACTGGTTAAATCACAACTGGAATACTGTGTTCAGTTTTGGCCACCCCTTTTAAATAAGGACATAGTTGTTGGAAAGCATTAAAAGGACTATCAGACTAATTTCAGGTTTAGACAAGTTTTCTTGTATGGGAACTGAATGAAAACACTTAACATCTTTTTATTGTAGGAGATAAAGGTTCAGGAAGACATGATTAAAGCTTTTAAGATTATCAGTTGTTTAGAGTCCATAAATCCAGATATTTTCAAAAAGAACTCTACAATTAGTAAGATTAGACGACACAAATTAAAAATATGGAAAATTCAGTCAACTCCAGTTGAGATAGGGTTACTTTTTAAATCAATGTTTGGCTTATGGAATAGTTTGACTTCATATGTTGTGGAAGTTGTAACACTGAAAAAGTTTAAGACGAAACTGGGTAACTATTTTAAAAAATGAATTAAATGAGTTGATTAAATGAAAATAACTTAGACTTAGAGAAAGCTTTGGGGAAAGTTGCTTTATTAAGAGGTGAAATAGTAGATTACAAGAAGGATGTCAAAGAAGTAAGACAGGAAACTAATGGAGTTAGGTTAAGGGTTATTTTGAATAATATAAGAACGAGAATGTTTGGTTTAGAAGGATGCACAATAGAGGCAGGTTGTATTGAAAGTGTTAGGTTTATGAAAGTGCACAGTACAGGCAGGTTGTTGAGTGTTTGATTTATGAGGGTGCACAGTAGAGGCAGGTTGTATTCAGAGAGCTCAGCTTACAACTCAGATGACTACTGTATTAGAATATTAACACTACCATAACTGGTTGTGTCTAAGATTTCTATATTTCAAACATATATCTTCTAGCCATACTGCCTGCTATAGCATCAGAATAGCAAAAGTCCTATCAAAAATATTTAATATGGCATGAAAGCTTTTTTTTTGTTACCCTATGACAATAATTTATTTAATGCCAAATTTTCCCTTACTTTTTTAATAGATTTATGACTAAAGACTCAGTATTCAACTAACAGAAGTCAAACTAATATTAATAAGCCTACAGTTTTTGGATCCATTATGTCCTCTCTTTTCTACAAAGTATCACAATAATAAGCTTTCAATCATTAAGTATGCTCTAGATGTCAAGATATAAAAAAAATTAAGTTCAAGTACAAAACTTATCATACCCCTTCCTGCACCATCAAACTTCCCAGTCCAAACGAATCAAACTGTAAGTTGTAACACTAACAGTCGACCCAAACTCAGACGTCAAAGAACGTATTTTCGAAACTTAAAGTTGAAAGTTAAACTTTAAAGTTCAGAAAAATTAAGGCACCGTTTTTCACAAACGGTGTTACAAAAAAAGTATTAATAATAAAAAACTAATAATTTCCATATTGTATCACACGTAAGGCCTAACAATGTGCATATATAAAAGAAAAATCATACTTCTATATGTAAACGCCACTAGAAGTAGAAGTTAAACATCGAAGGAAAACAATCATAAGGGTATTTCTTATCCATCCCACCTCGGAGAAAACGAATTAGCATTTAATTCGCCCTCTGTGCAACTGTCATATTTATAAAATAATAAACCAGAAAAAAAATCACAATATTTTTTTATATAGAATTTTTTTTGCTTGTAGTTTAAACACAAAGCTACCAATGGGCTATTTGTGCTCTGCCCACCACGGGTATCGAACCCCGGTTTCTCGTGCTGTACTGACATACAAAGTTAAACATTTATACAGAGTACTAATTTTACTCCCTTTTTTTTCCATTTCGAAATTATTAAAGCATAAAATCACATCTTCTTTAGTTATAAAAAAATGTAGTGGTAATATTTTTTATGTGGTATGTATTTATTCCATATTGCTTCGAAAATGCACTTGAAGCTATCAGTAAATTACGATAAGGTTTAAAAGTATATTTTTATTTCATATATGAATAATGTCTTTACTTTATCGATAAATAGTTGAGTTACTCGGCGTTGCACGGTGAAATCTTAGATTTGAAATATATAGATTAGTATTGTTACGACAGCGGAAGTCACGCGACTCTGGAAGCATGCGCGCTAGAGTTTCTAGTAGGATCATGACTTATCGAGGAACCCCGCGAATGACCATGAATTTCCTAGTGCGTTCGGGACGCCCCCTTTTTTAGTATATAAGCCTGGCAGATAAAGCCTGTGGGATGATGTGATTGAAGAGAGATAATTGAGTCAAGCGAACAGTAGGCACCGTAAGTAAAGTGTGTGAATCACTGTGATTTATAGCGTGTGTTATAAAGGTTGTTAAGTTTAAAATGACTGTGGAAATTCTGTGTATTACTAAAAGTTTATATCGAGAAAGAATAAACTGGTTTAATCAAGAAAAGACTTGTATCGCTGAAGTTCCTCGGAAAGAATTTATACCGGAAATTAACAAACAAGCAGATACTCAACAATATTAAAAGTGGGTAA